TTGTATAACTTTTTTCTGGTTACGCCACTAATATCTTCATGAAATTTCTCATAGACTTTGTTAAAAAAGTTGCACAGTAAGAATAAAGAAGCTCATTAATTGATTGTTAATATAATGCACACTTAATCATAAACTTGGGTAAAAGCACGTCCGAAGTCTTTTGACTAGAAACTAAATTAATATATATATTCATTAAATAAATTATTTTTAGAAAAACAGCACCTAAAGTAATGTCACAATTAAAACGTGATTTTGATGCTAAATCTCGCAATGAAGCATATCGATGTCGTTTTCGTTTACCATTAAGTGAACGTTTAGATGGTGAAATAGCATGTCATTTATGGACACCATATAATCGTTCAAGTATAGCTGGTAAACTTTATGTTTCATCGAATTTTGTATGTTTTTCTAGTCGAGTAAGATTTCAAAAAAAGTGTTATTTGTTTTTTTTTTTTAAATCATCATATGAATTCTTTATTTTATAAAAATAATAAGCTTTATCGTCAAGTAAATTTAATCATTCCATTTCGTGATATAATAATTGTTGAAAGACATTCAAATAATTCCAATGTATCAAATTTTGATATTCAAGCAGCAATAGTTATAACAATAAAACATCAAGTAAAAACTAAAAAATAGAAAAATTTTCTATTAGGTTTTTCTTTTTTGTTTCGTAGGGTGGTCCGTTTATTTTTTCAAATTTTGTTGATCGATCATTTATTCTTGGTAAATTATCAACTTTATTATCAGAATATAATGAAAAAATCACATCAATTAATGATCTTCCATCAATAAGTTAGTTCATTAGTTTTTTTTTTTCGAATTTGAAAAAAAAATAAAATTTTCTTCTAGCTATATCTGCTCCACTTTATTTACAATTTAATAATAATTTAACTGAAGAACAACAAGCACTTGAAAATATTCGAAAAGCTGCATGGTATACACATTTTGCTACTCATGGAAGAGGTTCAGCTATGTATCGAACAAGTGAATTATATGAATTATTATTTCAAGGAATACCAAATTCATTACGAAATGAATTATGGCTTTTATTTAGTGGTGCTATATATGATGTTCGTGTTATATTCAATGAATATTTTTTTTTTGTTTGTTTTTATTTGAAAATTTCTTTTTTTTTTTTTTTTTTCTATAGAAAGAAGCAAATGCGAATATTTATAGAAAATGTGTTTGTGAATCATCAAATGTTAAAACTGATCAAGATACAATATATGAAGAAATTGAACGTGATCTATGTCGAGCATTACCAGATCAAAAAGCATATCAACATGAATCAGGCATTAATGCATTAAGACGTTTATTAAGATCATATTCTCGTTATAATACAGATGTTGGTTAGGGAAATATTTTCTTTTCTTTTATTAATTTACAAAATTCTTTTTATATAGGTTATTGTCAAGCTATGAATATAATTGGTGGTGTACTTTTGCTTTATATGAATGAAGAAGATGCTTTTTGGACATTAGGAGCATTGTGTGAAAGACTTCTACCAGATTATTATAATACGAAAGTAGTTGGAGCATTGATAGATCAAGGTAGATTTTATTTAAGATAAATGTATCTATGGAAGTGACAAGTCTCGGCAGATATGTCTCAATTCGGGTTTCTTTTTTTTTTTTTTAAATAGGATATCAATTTTATGTTAGAAAGATATGATTATTTTGATGATTTCCTATTCTTTCAATTGTATAGATTATTAAAGATCAGAACTATTGAATATCTTTTCGAAATCGCTTAAACAAAGATTTAGTTATCTGCATACAGAAATTTCGTGGAAGTGAATTAACAACGAAAAATAGGACATCAGTTGTAAATCTGTACGGTAACAGCTTCGATAGGATTTGTTGGTATCACATTGGTTTTTGTTAGAATGTCTTGTATAACCTCAATTTGACTTGATATTTAGTTCGTAATTATGAAGAATAATATATGATGTGTAGTTCTTTGTTAACTTCGAGTTTAATAATTATGAGTGATGATCTGAATTTTGTACTCTCTCTTTGAATATGAAATGAGAAATAATGGTAAAACGATAGATTTTTATTAAATCTTATAAGTCTCTTTCTGAAAGTGCTAAAAATGATCGAAGTCGATCATTTACTTCATTGAATATCTCTTCAAAAAGAAAATTCTATGTTGAACTAAGTTATAACTTTCACTCAAGTAAAAAAAAGTAGAGGTACTTTGTCAAGATCTCCTTTCTATACAAAACATTATTTGATTTTTCTAAAATGATGATTTAAAAAAATTTTATATCAATATTAATATCGAGTAGCAATAATGAAATAATAAAATGTATGAAAAAATCTTTCGTCCAAGCTATGTTTTTGATCTTTTCAAAGGCTATCTTATTAGTATCGAAAAAACAAATGAGATGAATTTTCTAAGGTCATATTCGAAAACTGTACCGAATTCTGGTTATAACTCATAACTTTTGACTTATCATAAACACTTTCAAACGAACTAACATTTTGTCTAAAAAACATTCGGATCACCTGTTTTATATTGACTATTGAATAATGACTTTCTTCAAATCAATTCAAATTTAGTGTATACTTTCAAAATTTTCCCAGACAGTAAACCATCATCTGGAAATATTTATAGTTTCTTTTCTAATGAAAATCAAATATATTTTACCATCTTTTTTTTTTTTTCTAGGTGTATTCAATGATTATTGTAAAGAATATCTACTTGATTTATATGATAAATTAAAACATCTTGGTATAGCTGCATGTATTAGTCTTTCTTGGTTTCTAACGCTATTTGTTTGGTAAGACAAAGAAAAAAAAACTATATAATTCTTTTTTCTTAAAATTTTATTTTATTTAAAAGTGTTATGCCATTTGAATCAGCATTATATGTACTTGATATATTTTTTTATGATGGTATAAAAGTATTATTTCAATTAGCATTAACAATCTTAAATGAAAATCGTGAACGTTTATTAGAATGTCAAGATGATGGTGATGCAATTTTAATATTAACAACATATTTTGATCAATTTAATGATAATAAAAATGAAAATCAAGAAGAAAAAAAAATTATTTCTTTAATTAAAAAATCATATAAAAATTTTAATGGTGTCAATGAAGAAGATATTAATCGTTTACGTTTAAAACATCGTTTAAAAGTTGTACAAAATATGCGTGAATCATTATTACAATCAGCTGCAAAAAATACTGCAAAATATACAAAATTTAATGAACAAGAAATAAAAAATATTTTTTATATTTTTAAAGTAAAAAAAAAAAAAAAACAAAATTTTTGTTTTTCGATATTAATTTGTTTTATTTTTAAGGACGTTTCACGTATATCATTAACAGAAGCAAATGATCCAAAAAAACTTGCTTATGAAACCTATAGAATTAATCGAGATGAATATTTAATCTTGTGTAAATATTTATCACCTTGGTTTATTGGTGAACAACCAGAAAATTTAGCGAATAAATTATTCGATGTAAGAAAAAAAAAACAGAATTTTTTTAAATAATTTTTCTAGATCATGTTTTTTTGTTTTTTGTTGAATAGTTATTTAATTTAAATACTCAACCAAATCAAATTGATTTTATTCATTTTATTCGGTTATGGAATATTTTATGGAATGAAGATTTTAAAGATAAATTAATTATTTTATTTCTTTCACATTTAGAAGGTTTGTTAAGAATTTCTAATTAATTATTTAAATTGAATATATCTTTTTTTTTTATATATTAGATGAAAATAAAAGAAAAGAAGGCTTTAATATCTTATTAGGATCAATATCGATTCATTTGCCATCAGTAATTAGTGAGAATACATCAATCGAATCAACTAAAGAACAAACGCCTTCATTGTACATAGAAAATGGTGAAATTACATATCTTAAACCTAGTCAATTACCTCTGATGAATCAGGTAAACATTTGATCCCTATAGGATTGCGTGTCCCGATGTTTCGAGTCATTCTCATTTTTATTAGAAAGCCTTGAATTTTCACTTTGCGGATGCTGAGTATTGAAGTGTATGACAGAAAAATATTGATTAATGTTGAGTTATAGGTACATGCGAAAAATTTTTTGTTTGTTTGTCCATCAGTTATAAATCATTGGAGAAAATCCAAAATAGACAGGTTGCGACATAATGAAATACGTGATAATTTTCTAGCGAAAAAAAAGGGTAATTTGAACTACAATTTCGATATAATTTGAGTTGAGATTATTGTGAAAATATTCAAAGGAAAAAGTATTGTTCCAAAGACACCTATAAAAAAAAGCATTTTTCGTCTAAATGAGTTATATACCGATCAATGACCCGGACATCATTCTTTCGAATGGTGAAAACCACAGCTCTCTATCTTGTTCCTATCAAAAGTTATTCGAAAAATGGTACGTGCCTTTTATTTTGATTCGGATAATAAATATATGTTAAGGGTTTATTCTAACTGATTATTATTATTTCGTTTTAGTGACTTCTAAGACATGAAAACTTGAACGAACATTTTGTCCTAAGACATTTACATATAATTTATGACACGAAAGTTTTAGCACAAAATATTCATTCATTTTTCAGCCACTTTTTAAACACAACTGATTAGAACTAGTAACAATTAGTTATAATTCAAGTTTTTCGCTCTTTCCGAATATACGTTCAGAATATCTTTTTTGGGATAAGATTGTTCTAAAAAGTTCAAAATAGAGCTTTTACAGAATACGATTTTGCATTTTTTCCTAACACTTTTGCACCTATCCCCTCACATGACATTGCCATTGAATCTGAATAAATATTTGAACAAAAAAAAAAAAGAATATCATATTCTTTATTTAGATGGAATTTATACATCTTTGTAAATCAATATATAGTTTAATGACTGGAGCCACTGATGATGAAGATTTATTTAAAGCATTAACAACTTCAACTACACTCCTTTTAAAAATGGGTATGTTTCTTAATATATTTGAATTTTTCTTATTCTCCTGTTTTTTTTTCTTTTCATTTTGAAGGTGAAATGTGTAAATCTCCGCGTCAAGTAGAGACAAATGAAACAGAAAATGAATGGACAATTAGTTTTGAACAATTTGAAGCTGCAATGAATGCTGAAAGTTGTCTAGTTACATGGTTTGAAAATAATAATAATAATAATTTATCACTGGAAAAACGTATTGATAATTATCATAAAGATATTCAACGATGAGATTTTGTTTTTGAATATAAATAAAAAGAAATTAAGTTTTCTTTTATCTACTCATAGAAGTGCAATGTATAGACAACTATATCTATATCTATATCTCTATCTCTATTGACATAAAATATTTTTTTCGTCTATTGAATAACTGATTTGGTGCTTTCATTTTATTTTTTTTTGTTTCAATTTTTATGTTATTGGTTTATTTATAAATAACAATAAAGATTTTAATTTTGATAATTTAAATTACATTATATACGGTCATTTTATTGTATTAGATGATATTAATTACGAGTATTTATTTAAATTTTATAATAACAATTAATCGTAGAATTTTGGAAAGGGATAGCGATAAAAAGAATAGAGTTTTTATTGTGTGTTTATTTATTGAAAAGAAGTAGAAAAAAAAAACGTGGTGTTTTTTATGTGAAAACGTTTGATAAATACATCTTATCTAAAAAAAGAAAAAGTGCGCGAATATCAGACATCATTTTTTTGTGTTGATAAACATGAAACAAATACAGATTGAAAGTATTCGTTTTTACGTATTAAATTAGACATTCTGAATAATCATATTTGTAGGCATAGATACCTAACTTCTAACAGGAATTTTCAGAATAGTATTAGTCTGTTCTTCAGTTCGAGAAAATTATTTTTTGTTTTTCTTTCATATTTTATTCAGTGTATTTTTATCTTTAGTTTCAAGTCCTCGAAATTATTTTATACTATTGAATATCATTGTGTATAGGTTCTGTCGATATTATAACACAGTTGTTACATGTTTGATAAAAATATGTATTTAATACAAGGTAATAAAAGTGAGATTTCAGTACTTTGAAGTATTGAAGTCTCGCTTTTTCTTCTTTGGTTTAACCATTTTATATATGCAATTCCATTAGTGTTCTATACAAACATCTTTTATAAAACTGTCAAATAAGAGAAACAAAAGACGGATAACTAATGCAATCACTTTATAATGTACGTTTATTACATGCATTTGAGTAAATACCAACGTGAAGTAACAAGAACTTTCTACATCATCATTTTCTTACGATTCATGTTAAACTCTTGCGGTAAGAAATACAAACGTGCGTGTTATACAACCACTCTATGTTACGTATGTTTACCTCTTGTCGATAACTAAAAGGTAAAAGAAGAAGTCTTAAAAAATTTTTCTTTATCAATTTAGCTTTTGAAAATGTGTATATACATATTGATTATAAGTTACAAAAGCACATCATACTTGAGACCGGTTTTTTTTTCTATCGTTATTATCTACTAGTGGAGGTACCCGATGGTAGTCATGATAATTTTATAATATATACTTGACATATTAGAAAAAGACGTCACTATGATCTGCTATCAATTATTGGAATTCTATATCGCAAAATATGTTCAGATTACTTTCCCTTTTCCACTGATGTTTTCCCCATTTTTAATTTAAAAAAAGATTTCTATTCTTTTCAGTGTTCTTTTTGTTTGATCGACTTCTTTTATTACAAAAGACCGTTTACCGAAATACAACTTCGATTGCAACGCTTTTTGATACAGAACCTTCTCGATTTTCATAACAGGGGCCAAAATAAACAAATTCTTCCCAGTTCCAACTCCTCAGCATGCTACGTTAAGTTGGCCATGAGAAAGGCAAGGGCTCTCTANAGCTGAAATTGTGTCTCTGATCTACATGCTTGACGGACTATATGCACACACATTTTCAGGTCTTCAGCATCTATTGTGGCTGAGATCCTCTAGGGGGGAGACTTTTGTCGTCTACTGTATAACCAAAGTTGAAAATCGATTTCATTTTTTATTACAAAGGCAATCAACATTATTACAATGATAATTCTCTTATGTGCTGATTGCAAAAAAATACAGTAAACAACGATGAACAATGAGCAAATTTCAACAGTGCAGAATCTCTAGTCACTAATTAACATAATCAAAGTGACTAGGAGACAATGGACTGATGTAAAACGTCAATACAATATAGAAAAACTAAATCAACTGAGGAGTGCAGGTCATCTAGTCAGGAATAAAACATATCAACCGGACTCAACAAACTCCACTCCACTGTTGAATAGACAACAAATATAACAATACTAAAATTAATTTTATTTTAAAACTTTACCTGACATATTTCATGATTTTGTGTCCAATCAGCTAAAGCATCATTTGGATGAAATAATTTTGATGAACGTGTTTTATTATTATTACAATTAATTGGTGATGATACAATAATTTGTTCAGTATTAGTCATTGTATTTAAACTTCTAGTTGTTATTGATTGTTTTCTTAATGGAAGATTTTCTTTAGGTATGATTCTTGTTGGTGATTTCATATCATCTTTATTTGGACTTTTCTTTTTTTGTTGTGAATTTGAATCACGACGTGATGGTGATGCAAATACGAAAACTTTAACTTGATCATGAAAAACAACTCGACGTGTTTGATCTTGTCGTGGTTTTGTTGGTGATAAACGTTTAAGAATACTTTTAATGGGATATTTTTTTATTTGTTCGTTTTGTGTATCAATTATATTTGTTGATATAATTGATGTTGTTATTTTAGTTAATTCATTGGTTAATGGATGTGTACGTTTTTTTTTTGTATTATCAATTAAACTTTTTCTTGCTGATAATGATGGACGACATGAACGACGTAATTTTTTTGTTATTGATAATGATTCTTCAGGAATATGTTCAATAGATTTTTCTATTTCATCTGATTTTATTATAGATTCTTTAGTTGAATTATTTTCTTGTATTAGATTTGATGTTGTTTGTTTAAAAAGACATACATTTGCTGTTGTTGTTATTGTTATTTGTTTATTTTCATTTCGAAGTTGATAATTCGTCATCATATTTTCAATAGTTGGTGTATCAATTGTACATGAATTTGATTGTGTATTACCCATATCATCACAAAGTAATGGTATTATTTGACGTTTACGTAATTTTTCTTTTTGCTTTTCTGTTAAACATGTACTTGTTGATGGTATACGTTTACTAATAACAACTGGTGTATCAGATTGATTATTATGATTGATGTTATTTATTATAGGAACATATATTAGTTCATTCTTATCGTTATTTGTTGAACGAATGGACGGTAATGATGGAGATGCGAAACGCGCTGGTGATGATGGTTTTGTTAGTTGTTGATTATTTATACTTGGTGGAATTAATGGTGTAGCAATATCAACTTGTTGAGATAATTGACTTTCATCATTACTACTTGGTGCTGGTCCACTACCAGCTGTATTACTATTATCGTGATCGGCAAGAAAACATGGTAATAATAAATGTTCTTTGTCTTTTAATTCACGAAGACACATTCTAAAAGAAAAAAGTAATTAGATAAAAAAATGTTACTAGAAAATTTAGATTATAGAAATCAAGAATGAGATTAGTACAACGAAAAAATGCTTCGTGTTTAAAGAGACTCATAAGAACTAACATATGATTATTTTCAATTTTATGTTTCTTTGAAAATTTTAGCAATGATTTGAAAATCTCTTCTTACAAATTACTTTGATTATTTAGAAAAAAAAAGAGCACTTTTCGTAGAAAAATATAATTCATGTTTTTTTTAACAGTATATTATCCACTGTGAAGGTCAAAGTAGCAGAGTCTTTCCAAAACTCGAGCTGAATCTGTTGGAGTTCATGGTTATTCTATTACATCTACATGCTTGTGTTCCAAAAAAATAGCTGTTTGTCCTCTCCAAAGAGCAAATCTAGATAAAATACATCTAGAACAGTTGTTCACTAGGACAGATGCTCTCTCTGACATTTTCACCCTAGGGTAGATACTCGTCAAACAGATTCTATCTTAAGTTTTCAATGGATGATACACAATAGTAATATTAATTCCAACAATAAACTTGATCATTTGAGTATCATTCGAATTGATCAATTGATTTCAGAGTAGATATGAGTGACGAGAAGATTGATCAATTCTATGTTGAACAGTTAACCATCAAAACAGAAAACGAATCTTTCAACAAATAACTACGAAATTCGATTGAAAAAATCTACATGTAGGTGATAACGATCAGTTCAAGTACATTGGTCATTTACTGTCCTTATACATTCTCTTTCTGTATTCTTGTAGAACCAAATCAAATATTCGAATTATTACTTTTTGTGTCATACCTATCTATTGAGTACATTTTGGCATTTCAACATTGTCCTTAAACAAACTTTTTCATGACAAAAATGTAGAAACTTCTCCGTTTCTTCGGTCTAGTATATCGGATATCCATCCTAAACAGTGTCTAGTGCCGATTTAAAAAATGTTTCACTTCATCGAAGACAACATTCGGGAAGACAACTTCTGTTCAGCTCTTCAAAATTTATCTGTGTCCTAGGAATTTCAAGTTTTTCTGATAAGTTGTTGTTTAGGAATGCCGGAAAGGGAGGCGAGGATGACTCTTAACTATACTTTCTTGTTGTGTCTATATGAAAAATTGAATTACCTAAGTTCATTTGGATAGACAATAAATTTTAATCGTCCAAATGTTTCATTCCAACATTTTTTTGTTTTATTTCTCATTATTGTTTTATTATGTCGAAAAGCAAGTATTAATAATGGATAAATAAGTTGAAGTAATGATGAACTATTTGATGGTTCAAAAACTAAAGATATAATTGTTAAAATTTTATTTAATATAACATTATCTGTTTGTTGTTTAGGTGATGAACCAATTGTTAAATTTGTATTTATTATTTGTTCATATAAATGAAGAAATGATATAAGTTGTGTTAAATTTTGAAATATAATTTCAACATGTGAATATATTTTACATAAATTTAATAAATCAACAATAATATCACGTATATATGTAAATACAATAGATTTTGTTTGTTCATTTGATGAAAATTTATTTGTTTTTAATAAACAATAACAAACATATATATATTGTATATTATTTTCATTATTAGATAATAAACGTTGTAATATATGATTAATTATAATTGATATTTGTGTTAAACAAAGTATTATTGATGATGATGATAATGAACGTTTTTGTGTATTATTTGATAATAAATAAACAAAATTATTATTATTATTATTATTATTTGAACGATCAAATATAGCTGATAAATCAATATCTGATAATGTTTTTAATATTGTTTTTATAATAATTAAAATAAAACCAAATAAACGTTGATTATGTTGATCATAAATAGCTTGTTCAAATACTGGTTCATTACGAAGTATTTCAGCAAGTAAATGTATTAAAAAATGTTTTGATTGATCATTATTTATTAATGTTAAACGACATAATGCTTTAAATAATTGTGTCCATAATAATGTATAAGAATAATCAAGTCGTTGTATATCATTAAAACTAAATGGACGTAATAATAATTCAATAGATGTTTCTTGTTTTTGATTATCAATTTTATTATTTAATTCAAATGTTAATGAACGATTAAGAATATTAATTAAATGTGTTGAACAACGAAACCATATATGCCAAAATAAATATGGTATTGTTATTGGTTGATGTGATAATTCAACTGAACATTTAAGTAATAATGAACTTGTTTGATAACAAAAATTTTCATCTGAACTTTTTGATAATGTATCAATTAAATAAGATATTACATGGAGATATGCATCTTCTATTGTTTGATCTTCATCATTAAATCTTATAGCATGTTCTAACATCATGTGAAGACATTGATCTGATAATGTTGTACAATAAGATATAGATTTATCTTCTATAAATATAAACAAACAAAAAAATAACAATTTTCAATAGTGTTTTCTAACGACATCAGTTTTAATCATTAGAAAATTTAACACATTGAATCATGGGCGGGCCGGCATAGGGGCGAGAGGGGGCAATTGCCCCCCTCCCCCTAAAAATTTTTTTTGGCTGGGACTTAAGAAGAACGCCATGAAAACAAGCGTTTTTAAGCGAAAAAGTGCTTATTGGCCCCCCGCGCGCCCCCCCGCCCCCCCCCCGCGCTCGGGCCCTCGGCCGCCCCCCTCCGCCACGCATACCCCGTGTCCA